TTTTTAATTAAAAACAATGGGTAGAAGGCAGTGAATATTCCAGAACACCTGTTCTTGCAGACAGTTTCACAGAAATGCTCAGAGAGATACTGTGTTCATTTTCTATGACTGCTCTAACAAGATACTACAAAGTTGGTGGCTTAAAACAACACACATTTATTCTCTCACAGCTCCAGAGTTCAGAAGTCCAAAAATCAGTGTCACTGGGCTGAGTTCCCCGTGTTGGTTCAGCCACACTCCCGTGAAGGCTCTAGAGGGTGTGTCCTCACCTCGCATTTCCAGCCTCCAGTGCTCTGTTCCTGGCGCTCCTAGGCTCATGGCGTCTTCCTCCAACTTCCAAGCCAGCAGTCTAGCATCTCGCTTCACAGTCACGTTGCCTTCTCCTGGGCCAAGTCTCCCTCCGCCTCTATCGTGTGACACCTGAGATGACATTTACAGCCCACCTGGGTAACCCAGGACGATCTTCCCATCTCTAGCCCCCGAGTTCAATCTGCAAAGCTGCTTTTGGCACGTGAGGGGACCTTCACAGATTCCGGGGGTTACGGCCTGATATCTTTGGGGCCTATTATTCAACTGACCACAGATACACTCACTCAAACACAGTATAAAGTGGCCACATAGACAGACCCAGACACACACACACACACTCCTCACCTCCAAACCTCTTCCCATCAGCCTGCTCAAGCCAGGCTTGGGAAGCCACACAACTCTTCCCTTTCCCCCATGACAGCTTCCTTTCCGATAACATTGTGCAAGTCCCTCCCTCGTTCCCAGTGTCCCTTCCATCTAAGAAGCCCTTCCTCACTCCTGCCTTCAGAATTTAACCTACCTTGAGGCCTCCAAGCTGAAGGCCTAGTTCTGAGCCAGCCCCTTTCTTCACACCATCCACCCTACTCTGCAGGTACCTGCTCACAGCTGTGCCTCACTGCCACGCCCTATGGGTTCTCAGAGAACACCAACTGAAACAAGGATTAGAGGAAAATCAAAGGTCAGCACGCAGAACTCTTAAAGGGGGAGTGCGTCCAGTGCCTGAGTCTGGGAGCTTGGTGACTGGTGGACTGACATCTGGGCGCTGGCTGAGCTAGGCCACTCGGGTCTGGGGCATGGGTGGGGCTGGACAGCTCCCCTAGAACACGGCTCTAATCAACCTAGGGAGAGAGAAATAACCTCTCTGATCCCCACACCTGCCCCTCAGTGCCAGTCCTAAGGGCCAGACTCCATGGACCAGCCAGAGGACTTCCAGTCCAGGTGAGTGCTGGCTTTCAGGGTGGTCACACGGGAAGCGGATGGCCCCAGCCTGTGGGGGCCTCACCTCATTCTGCCCACTCCCTGGGGCTTCACACAGCTGATCCACAGCTTTCCCCCAGTATCTCCCAGGCTCAGGATTCTAGGGACTCTATTCGCACAGAAGGCACCCTTGGTGTCTGTTCCCCACCAGGGACTCAGACTCAGCCCCTGGTGCAAGGCGCCCAGCCTGGGCCACCAAAGGGTGCAGTGAGATGAGTGTGATGGGGAACTCAGGCACGCAGAGTGGGCGGTGTGGGTGGTGAGTGTGGCTCTCCGCCCAGGCTCCCAAGGAAGGGAAGGGAAAGAAGGGAGGGAAGGGCAGAGCACAGGCCCTTGTAGGCACCCTCATCTTAGGCTTTTGAGCCGGCCCGGCCAGGTGTGTGGAAGAACACAGGAAGGAGGGTGCAGGGCGAGAAGGCGGTCCCCCAGCGCTTGGGTCAGCGGTGGCCAGCGCCTGCCCCCAGTGACCTCTATCACAACCAGGGGCAGCGCCGTCAGAGCAAAGCCTTGGGGCAGAGCACCGCCCGCCCCCACACTGCCCCCCTCACC